CTTAAGCTTATTTTTACTATAGTCTTTATAGGTAATTAAGTTAAATAATATATAGTAAAGCTTTATAATATAGGCTAAGTGTACCTTATTACTTTAATAATGTTAACGGAAGACGCCGATGGTCTAACTCACAGCCGACGCCCTGGACTCGTAGGCGCCTGCTACATAGCCTAAGAGACAAAGATGTCGACCAGTCTCATATCCGGGGTTACACCAAGTCTGGAGGATCACACCTAGCGGGGGGGACGGAGGTGAGTCCGAGCTCTCCGGCCCAGGACGTGGCGGAGATGGTGGGCAGAATGCAAAAGCTTCAAGGCTACAGATCCATCGTCCGACCAGGGGTAGGTACCTGTATATGCTTGGACGAAGTCCGCACCGAGCCATGCCGTCGGTCTTGGTACCTATTTTAACTCTCCACCTCCCCGTCTCTCCCCTATCTGTTATCCACATAGTCAAGCAAGCGCGCACGTACGTTGCGTTTGGGAGTTGGGGTCATCGACGCAAACCTTATCGGATATACAGGATCTTTCCACCCCTTTATGAATTTCGAAGCATATAGGTAGTCAGTTGCGCGTCTACCCCGCCCCTGTCTTTCCTCGCCGCCGCTCCCTCCCTTCTTCACACTTCACTATGGACGAGATGCCGATATTGTCTTGGAGTCGGAATATATCATGTGGGAGACGAGTGCAGATGTGCATCTAGAAAAGGATGACACATATCTTCCCGAAGTTTGGGTGAGTCGAATGGACCCCGCTCGTCCGACAGCCACGTGCGTGTCGTAGCTGACGAGAGCGATTCGCCAGGCTTGGTATGCCATGGGCGCTTTCGTGATACTTCTTCGGTACGTGGTGCGCATCCGGACCGTGCGCATCAGTGGCTTTCGCGGCGACGATTACCTTGCTCTGCTGGTAGGTTCGTCAACACCATACCGACAAAACATGGGAGATTGACCGTGTGGCAGTACCTCGCGTTATACACCATCAATTTATACGTTGTACAGGTGGGTTTCCGGACGTGTGAGGAGCCTCATAGAGGGTTGACTGATCACGGTTCCAGGTGACGTACTATACCGGAGCAAACATCGACATCCCCGCCGCGGCGGTGCCAAGCCTATCGGATCACGATGTCGCTGTCCTTGAACTCGGTTCGAAGCTTGAATTCCTGTCCTGGTATACATATCCAGGCTGCATTTGTATGAAACCCATCCGCAATCGACTCGGGCGGCATCTAATCTTTCTTTTTCTTTTTCTTTCCGATAGGGGTTCTCAAGTTCACCGTGTTGTGCTTCTACAACCGTCTAACGCTGGGAGTATTGCGGAGGCGAACCATGAAAGCGCTCTTCTGGTTGTGTGGCACATCATACTTGGTCCTGTGCATGACGGTTACGTTCAGCTGTCGGCCGTGAGTTCCTCGCTGGGGCGACGGCTTGGGCCGGGGTTGCTGATGGCTATACAGATTCTCCGACAACTGGAGGATCCGGCCTTTACCGGGTCCCGAATGCACTTTCCGGCCGCAGAACTTTTGGGTGTTAGTTTCCCTCAACATCTTAACCGACGCGGCCCTCCTTAGCATCCCGATACCGATCCTCTGGCAGCTCCGGGTGTCCCTGGGCCGGAAGATCGGCGTCGGCATCCTGCTGTCGTCAGGCGTCTTCGTGATATCGACGGCAATCGTGCGGGCCGTCACGACGCTGGGCGGGTCACATTCCATCATCAACATCAACCGCTGGGGATTTCGCGAGCTCGCCATCGGGCTCCTCACCGTCACCATGCCCGTGCTGAGCCCATTGGCCACGAGGGCGTTCTGGCGTCGCGGGCCATACATTCGAGATTTCTATGACAGAGTCGCAGGCGCCCGGTCGCGCAACGATGCGCTGTTTGGCAACCGGCTTGGTAATATGGTTCTGAGATACATCGATGAAGAGGCGGGAGATGAGGTTTTCCGGAGCCTCGACAGGGCGAAGCAATCGGGAGAAGCGGAATACGAGCCAGGATACGCCGCAAGAGGTGAGTCGTACGGCAAAGACAATTCAGAGACGCATGAAATGGGGGCGATGAGCGGCGGAACCAGCACGAGGAGTATACCAAGCGTCAAGGAGACCTAACAGTAGGGTGCAAACTTGCGTACATAGGAAGGCCAGCGAGCTTTCGAGAAGGGGAAGAGGAAGAGGAAGGGGCACAGGGCATCGTTTTTCCTGGTTTCGTCTCGGAAAAACGCAAGTGTGTTTGTAAATAATCTTGGATTTAATGATACCAAAGAACATGTATGGCAGATGGAAGTTTGGCTTGGCAGCATAGAGAGAACTTGTTACGATTCCGACGCGGAAACGAACCTACGAGTTGTTTGTAGAGTGGGAATGTAATGAAATACAAGAGCGTTAAGTCATGGCTATTACACTCTCAAATATATCTTATGTATTAATTTCAGAAATCAAGTTGTCTCTCTGCATCCATCCTCTGATATTCGGTGGTTTAGGACGAACGGCGCGTGGTTCCATGGCAAAGCTTCCGATCGGTTTCCGATCGGCCAAGTGTGGGTCCGTGTACGGAGATCCCTACGGCACCTGCCTAGGTACCTACGGTGCTTACCTGCCTAACCAGATCACCTGGACCCACAACTTCCATAGCGCTGTTCTCTCTGTTAGGCAGGTGTGTGCCAAGGGGAGAACAGTTAGTAGGGGGGTATTCCAGCTTTGGGGGGGGTATCTGTTGTAGGGCCAAAAAGTTAGGGCAGGGGTATTAGCGAGGGACCCACAGAGTTATACAAAGTTAATATATACAAAAATAAAAGGCAGTTACACTATATACATAGTAAAGAATTTTTAATTAAGCGCTAGTGTTTATTATATAACTTTATTTATATATTTACTCTAGGCTTAGTGTTAACTTACTCTTAGTATATACTAAGCTTTAGCTTAGTAAATTTCTTTTTTTCTTTTTTTTTAAACTATTATTAACCTATATAATAGTAGTAATAGTAATAGTAATAGTAATAGTTAAGTATTTTCTTAATCTATTTTTATTATATTCTTAGTATATACTAATAATATTCTAGATATTTACTAACTATATAAACCTTAGTATCTTTAATACTAATAATTTTAGTAACTTTAGTTACTACTATAGTAAGTATATATATAATGTTTATTAAGTTATAATAAAGTATATATTAATTTAATATAGAACTTATTCTTAATTTAAATTATAGCTAGGTCTTCTTTAGTATAACCTTTATTTTTTACTTATATAATATATATATAAGGTATTAACTTATTATATATAAGTATTTAAAAACTTTATAATACTAGTTATACTTATATATTCTTAGCTTTATTTAAATATATATTTAGTATATACTAACTTTATTTTTAATAAATACTATTACTACTAAAATAAACACTAGTATATTAATTTATAAAAAACTAAAAATATTACTAGTATATACTTATTATATACTTAGCTATACCTAACTAAGGTAATAGACTTTTCTTAATTAATACTAGAGTATAAGTAAATATAGATCTAGTGTCTACTAAGTATATACTAACTTTATACCTAGCTATAATATTATTATTAATTTTAATACTAATACTATATATAGTACTATTATTATCTCTTAGCCTATAGTATTATTAGTTTTTTTACTAATTAACTAATAGGATATCCTAAGTTTATAGTATTATAAAGTATAAGAAAGTATAGTTATTAATAGTTAACTAGTTATTAAGGTAAAGTAAAAGTATAAGTGTAGTAGTACTTTTATATATAGGTAAAAGTAAAGGATTCTACTAGTAGGTAGTATATTATATAACCTACTGCCTCTAGCTATATTACCTATATACTAACACTAGTAACTTTCTTGTGTAGTAAAAGTTATTAGCGCTTTTATTCCTCTTAAAAAGCCTAAAAATATAATAAAACAAGAAGAGTAAAAGTATTACACTTTTTATAGTTATATACTACTATAAGTTTATTTATTTATTTACTTAGTAAAAGTAAGCTTATACTATCTTATTTAAGTATATTTCTTTTTAGCTATAGCTATTAAAGGTATATACTTATATTAAATAAATTTAACTATTATTAATCTATATAGTTTATATAACTTATTTTCTTTTTTAAGTACTTATTATTCTATATTTTATTATTCTTATTATCTTTTATTATATTTATATAACTTTTTTTTTTTTTATATTTTTACCTTATTATAAGAGATAAGACTCTTAAGTACTTAGTTTAAGAAACACTTTATAAACCTATTAGTAAGGTTATTATTACTATAGATCTATTATACCTTAAAAAGCTTATATTACTTATATAATTATTATAGTACTATAATATTAATTATTAAAGGCTTTTTATAAGTAGTACCTAACTTTACTAAGCACTTATATAGTAAGTATAAGTTAGTATAAGTAATAGTAAAGATTAATAAGTTACTAAGCTTATTTACTACTATTATAATAGTTATAAAAAAGTATATACTATAGTAATATTTATAACTATACTATAAACTTTTAATATAAAAATACTTTATATTACTTATTTAGATTTAGTTAATAAAAAATAATATATATTACTATAGAAAGTAAACTTATCTTACTTATTATTAACTTCTTTATTAGTAAAAAAGATAATAAATCTTAACTATAAAGTTAAGTTATAATTATTAATAAAAGATTTATTAATAAATATAAAAAGCTTTATAGTAAATAAGTTAAAGAGAATAAAGGTAAAACTATAGTTAAGTAAATTTATTTATTACTAGATTTTTTAGTTAAGTTACTAAATAGCTTTACTATCTAGCTCTTTATACTAGGCTATAGTAGATAAGTTAAAGTATACTTTAGGCTAATAAATAGAAGTAATATATATACCTTAAGTATACTATTAGATATAGTCTTACTAGGCTATAGGTAATTTCTTATTAATAAGTCTTAGCTTTATACCTTAGCTTTTTTAGTAAAGTATAATAAAGGTATCTTTAGCTAAAGGTAATAAAATAATTCCTATATTAAATACTAAAGGTTTATTTTTTATAAGTAAAATTTTCTATTTTATAAAAAGCTTTATCTTAGTAAGCTTATTATCTTTATATCTAGAAAAATTAACACTAGTTAAGCTAATTATATTATTTATTTATATCTTAATTACTATAAAGTTAAAGTTTTTTATAAATAAAAAAATTAAGTATAGGTTATATAAAGTAATAACTATATTAAGCTTTTTATAGTAGTAGTAGTTATAAGTTACTTACTAATAGGTATTTACTTTTATAAGGCTATATAATAGCTTTACTACCTTTATAATAATACCTTAAAGATAATAATTATAAATCTAAAGAGGAAGTTATATATAAATAGTATAGTTAAGTTATAAAGTTAACTATATATAGGCCTATATTATATCTTATAGCTATATTACTTTACTATTAGCTATAAAAAAAAAGTAAGTATAAGAATTATATACTAGCTAGCTCTCTAAATTATAAGTAACTAAACTAGTAAGGTTTTTTTACTATTATTACTATAACCTTATACTACTAGTTATAATTTCTTATATAGCTTATTATTTTTACCTTTAACTTTATTAATAAAGTAAAATTTAAAGATATAGCCTTAGTAAATAAAAGGACTATATATAATAATCTTAAATACACTATAGTTAATAAGTCCTTAGATTTTACTTTTATTTAACTATTTAAAAGGTTTACTAAGTATAATAATAATACTTTAGTTATATAGTTATTATATAAGTACTAGGTTAACCTTTTCTTTAGCTAAAAAAAAGGCACTAAAGGGTTTATTTATTTTCTATAGTAGTATATTAACTAAGGTCTTATATAGTTACCTATAGGTATACTATAGAGAAGAAGAGGCTACTATTTAAATAGGTTTTCTTGTTTTTATAGTAATAATAATAGTATTTTTTATATATTTACTAGTATAGTTAGTATTTATAGGTTAGTTAAGTTAAGGATTTATATTAGTAAGTTTACTTATTTTCTTCTTAGTATAGTAAGGTTTAACTAAGGTAAAATAGAAGTTATATAGGCTATTAATATTAATAGTATAATCTTTACTATTAATAAATAGTAAGTAGTATAGGCTAAACTATTTACTTTTTTTATACTATATTTATACTTTACTACTTAATAATAGGTCCTTAATAGTAAAAGTATTTAGGCTATTATATATTTTAAGTACTTTATAAACTTAGTATATTATATAGCTTTTATAGAGGTTATTAGTAGCCTTTTAGATAGTAGTTACTTATTAAATAATATTAGGTAAAGGGGTAAAGTCTATAGTTATATAAGGGTAAACACTAAATACTAAGAGGGTTAGTATAAGCAGAGATTTAAAAGTGTATTTTGTATAGAATTTGTATTTTTTTTAAAATATAAGGCTTTTTAGACTAAGTTATAAATATTAAATTATATAATTAATATATATTATAGATCTTAAAATTATTACAAGGGTTATCTAATATAGTTTCTATTTTTAGTAATTATATACTAAGATATACTAGTAATTACAACTTGTATTTGTATTGTATTTTTTGCCTAGCACTATACAATATATATTAGTGCCTATACTAAAAATAGATTTCTTAAAACTAGAATAGAAAAGCAGGGCTATTTCCTAAAAAGGAAATAAAAATATCAATATATTAAGAAAAAAAAGCTTAATCTAAACCTTATTTTACTTTATTTTCATATAGCTTATATAAGCCTATATAATTACTAATACTTTTTTACTACACTATAAAGGTCTTAACACTTGTATAGAAACCTTGTATTTTTTTTTAGAACTCTAAGTATAAGGCTATTAGGGCCTATAGTGTTATTAACTACCTTAACTATACTCTAAGAGATAAATTTATAGTTAGTAGTTAAGTACTCTTTATATATAATTTTATATACTTATTAAAGTACTATATAGTATTATTTAACTTTTTTAACACTATAGTATACCTTAATAAAGATAATCTTAACTTTAACGCTTATTATATAGGCTTTATATAAAAATTTAGTTATAGTAAAGTTCTTACCTATATTAGTAATAATCTAGTCTAAAGGTCCTTAGTAGATATTAATCTAGTAGTAATACAGTGCTTTTTATATAGTCTTTATAGAAATATTATAAAGAAAGTATACTATATTAAAGGTAGTTATAGTATTAATAATATAAAGAACTAGTTAGTTACCTTTAAAGTATATAATATTAATAATAACTTTATAGT